CGTATATCTACTTGTAGACTTGATGTAACAGTTATTTTCACCATGCTTTCAAAAAAAAATAAATAAATAAAAAATTTCTGGGAATGAGGTATTATGGGAAGTTCGTGTCAGAATGGAGGAACCTTGATAATAAGTAAATACCAACATTCACACAAGTGGTTTGTAAAGTTTAGTGATATTTGTTCTCACTATTTGGTAGGGGAACCTGGGATCAAATCTGAAGCTGAAGCATTAAATCTACATAATTTCAGCTCTCACTGTAAATATGTGTGGCTACACTGGTGCCTGCTTAAAGAAATCCATCCTCAATAATTTTGACATTTTAATCTCAGCTAAGGAACATTCTTGCTAAACGAGTTTTGCATAACTACATTTAACGTAGATTAAATAGTGAGTTTCGTTAGGATAAAAGATAACTTTTTCTCATAGAAATTCTAGGCTTTTACAGAATGAAAGCAAACTGATAATTACTGCATAGTGTGTGCAGTACTGTATGAAGCTGTTATTTCTTCATGACAAAATAAGAAGATAATTGCCCTATCATTGTAACTCTTTTATTTGTTTATTTTTTGTTTTGTTTGTTTTTATTGTGATTTATAAAGTATTCATTGTAAAGCTTTCCTGGTATGATTTTTGTTGTGGACAGCACTTCCCTAACTTAGTGTATTAGAGCTGAAAGCACTTGTTCAATGTGAAGATAAGCTTGGCATTTTCATTTTGCAAAGTTGATACGTTTGCCTTTTAAGATGTTTTAGAAAGGGTTCCTTTACCGTTTAACAGGACAGGGTGTCTTGTTGCCGGTGTTGAAAGCACCCTGCAGAATTCAACAGGACTTTGAGGAGTTTGTTAAAATACTTGCACATGCAAAATTTCAGTATAGCTTTGTTTTCTTCCTGTCTGTTGAAGGACATGGAAAAGTACCACGAGTCAGATAACAACAGACATGGAAATTTCTGGGTGATGAGTTGGACCAAATGCCTTTGGGGTCTTTAGCTGGGTGAATTTACTTGAAATGGAAGGTGCTGTACTAATTACTCATTAGAGTGCATTTAATTATGCACATATTACTTAGAGTTGGTCACCAGCACGACCAGTTCAGTAGTATCGGTGACTTTCTGTTTGTTCTAATTACTTATGCATTCTAAGGGATAGTATGATTCTACTGATGGTACAGATGATTGCTAATTATACGAGTCTTCTTTTGAAATGATTGCCCTCAAGGAGGTTAGTACCTTTCTCTTGTCCAGCTCACCCATAAAGTCACCTTGTGTTTCAAAATCTGTTTTGTTATATAATATACATCCAGCTGAATGTGGTGCAAAATACACAGGCTTCATCACTGTAGGAAAGGGATCTGAGCAGAACTATGCTCACTAGTGACTTCTGGTTCATGAACTTTCTATATACTACATTGTGCAGTGTAGATGTACTCTTAAAAAAATATCTTTGTCCATGACTTAGTGTGGTTATGCAAATAAAGCAAGCTTAAAGTAGACAAGATTCATTTTGCAAATACAATAGACTTGGAGACTGGAAACACTTCCACATCAAACAGGAATGTTCCACAACTCTTAAAGAAAGGACATTACTTAGTTTTTTCGTTTTGTTTCTTATGGGGTTGAAAATACAGTTCATAATTCTCATCTTATGACCTTAATTAAACATCATCTTTAAACACGCCTTGAAGGATTTATTAAAATTTGTAGTATTTGATGATGTGCCTAAGTACCATACAAGTTGTGCATGGATTGAAGCCTGTAAACTAACATCTATCTATTTCTAAAATGCTTAACAAAGAGTTTCTAATGTATTGTTATCTCATTCTTCAGATGATTCAGATTCTTGTTTATAGTCATTATTTGTATGAGGAGTTCACCTCATGATCCTGTTGGTTTGTATGCAAAGCTGTTCAAATTTAGAAGGTGTATGCTTAAAGTAGCTTTCACTAAATCTTTGGAGTGCTGCTTAGCTCCTGAAACTGAAAATTGTGCTGACAAGCAGATCATCCTTGCTTCAGATAGGAATTTCTGGTAGCTTTGTTGTAAGAAATTATGTGAGGCCACAAATGTGCGCAAACACTCTGTGCTTCAGGGTGTATAATATTAAGCTAGTCTACAATTTCTGTTGCTACTGAAAATTGCTGCTGCTTGATGCGCAGTGCCACCTAGTGGATTTATGAGGTGAATTACTAAGAATCAAGCAAAAAGCATCTACTCATTCATTGCTGTTTCAAGTTTTGTGTCAACCTGATGTACATTATTTTAAATGTGTAGACATCTCTGAAATTTGAGTCTTTTAAATATATTTCTAGATGAAACTCTTCTAGATGCCAGGCAATTCAGAAAACTATAATCTCTGTCCTTGAGTTACTTCTGTTATCATGTAATCTTTTTAGTGGAAGAAATCTGTTCCTTTCCTATGTGCCAGAGAGAAAAAGTAGTTGATGAATTACAGTTTTACAGTTTAATTTTGCGTTGATAAATTATCCAACTGGAGCAAAGTAAGATAGGTAACTATCAAGATATAGCTGAATGAATGTTTGGTCCCATTTCATTTACTATTCAGGTGGACAGATTGGTAAAATGGTCATGATGAAAATACCTTAGGTAGAATGTGAATCTATACAAAGACTAGTTATTTGTGGCTCCCAGTCACAGTGCAGGGGCATTTTGATAGAATCATAGAATGGCTTGGGTTGGAACATACCCTAAGGATCATCAAGTTTCAACCCCCCTGCCACAGGCAGGGTCATCAACCTCCATTTTTTACAAATTATCAAGGATTTATCCTGGAATCTGGTTTTGCTCAATATATTTATTATACCATGGATGCACAGAGAATGTGAGCTTATTAAATTTGCATATGGCATGAAATTGGGAAGGGCTGCAGATGTGTTTGTAGAGAAGTATTAGAGTTCCCAATAATCGTGGAATAATACGTTTAGTTTAAGCGCTGCACTTTATTTGAAAAATGGAGGAACTGGAGAGACTCCAAAAGAGTGCAGTGAGAATGGTCAGAAAGTGGAAGAACTGGCATTGTTGAATCTGAAGGAAAGAAAGTTGAGTGGTGAAGATATGCCTGGGTAAAACAGGAAGGAGGAAAATCATCTCTATCATTATGGTATATAGAGTACAAAGTAGGTGGCTTGAGTTGACATTAGTGAGCTTCCCCAGTTGTGTCTGTACTGAAGCATTATAGTGTGTTGCTTCTGAAAGCTCGGGTGTCTTCATTCTTGGATGTCTTCTGAGAGCTGTTTGAACAAACATCTTTCAGAACAATCCTTGCTGACCATCCCTTAAAGCAGAGAGGTTGGAGGAGAGGTGAGTCATCTTAGTTTTCTTTGTCAGTGAACTACTGTAACTTTTCACATATTAGTTTTGTGTTTCTCACTGAAGGAACAATTGGAGAGTTACCAGAAATGAAATGTAGTTAGAAAGTAACAGCATTTAAAAGGATGCAAACTGTAAAAATAGAACAACTAGTAGTTGTTCTGCAGCATGGAAGTACAATTATCTAACATCTGTGTTTTTTCCCAATATATTTATATATTATATGGTTTAAAAATGGAAACCTTTTCTCAAGTACACTTTTAGCTTTATAGAAGAACATAAGAAGTTTTCATAAAAATTGAGGTAATTGCCACTTTTTTTTTTTCCCTCTTGTGTGCTTCATGCACAGTAGAATTGCTGCATTTGTGTTGTTCCATATTTGCTTATACCTCTAACATTTTAGCATGCTATGATTGGGTTACTACATCAGTTTAGCTAGTTTGCAAATACAAGCTTTTTGATTGTGAATGCCTTCCAAATTAATTTTGATTGATTTGTTTGTTTTCTTGTCATTATTTCTTATTGCAGTATGTTTTGCTTCTGCAAAAAATTGTCCTGAAGGAAAAGCCTTAATACTTGCTTGCAATTACATTCAGCATTAAATTGTGTGGTTTTGCACGTGTAGACTGTCACATCCTTTACCAAGAACAAAAACCTGTTACTATCACTGAAGAGAAAGAAATGTGAGCTGCGAATACCATAATGCACACTTAATGTCAACTTGTTTAATGCCCCTTTCTCTATAATGTGTTTTATTTTTTCCCAAGCGTCATGCCATATAGTAATGCTGTAGTATTAAGGCTTTCACTTAATGTCAATTCAATATTAAATCACTTTCCATTAAGCATTTTCAGGGCCAGTTTTATCCACAAAACTCACTGTGGAAGTTGCCCTTACCTCCAAAGCAGTTTGTTAATGAAATGCCTATGGTGTATGTACTTTAACCCTCATTCTGTTCATTAAACCTGGGACTTATTGAGATGTCTTTGCTGTAAAAATATTTTAGTAAAATCAGTTAATGATTAGTTTTTTGTTATAAGAATTACTTTTAGAAGAAGAAAAACAGCAGTTTGGGAAATGGTAAACGTGTTTGCACTTCAGATCCAGCCCTAACAAACTTTATGTAGCTAGTTGAATGCTGTATGGCCTTTATGGATTGGGATTTGGTGTTCTGCTGGATTACCAAGGATACACCCCAACAGTCACCAGAAGAATAGGATTGTTTATCCCTTCATCCAAAGGATGAAGAGGATCCTCTTTATCAGAGGATCCAAAGACTGAAAACACCTGAAAATTTTGGGTACTTAAAACTGAAGGAACATCTGTGAGGAGAAGCTGATGGTATTCTGTTAGGATACTGGGGTGGCTTCTCCTCAACCTTTATTTCACTGTGATTTTAATCTGCTGCCTCTGCTAAGTGTTAGATTTTCACCATAAAAAAAGAACTGCAAGGCCACAGTATGATAGCATGACAAGATGAACAACAGCATTGCTTCTTGTGTATGTTCTTAGCTGTTGCAAGTGAGGAATATTTAGGGTTTTTTTCAACCATAGTACAGACATTGAAGATAAATTTCGTCATAATTTCAACAGAATAAGTACATGGGATTAGGAAAGAGCATTAAGGGCCATGATGCTGTGTCTAATTGGTTATTTACTAATTTTGTTACATTTCTGAAAGCCAAGTTTGCTGTGTTTTACTTGCAATTGGGAACACTGTTAATATCCTTCATGAACAGGTTACAGTATATGCTGTTATGTATTGTTTGTAGACTGGAAGACTTGTTAATGTATTAGCATTTAAAATAGAGATGATAATGTATTGTGTACACCAGAAATGCCTATGAAATATGAAAGGATGAATTATGTTACATTTGTCTGTGTTCAGTGGTTGAACTTTCTTTCTAATTGTCATTTGTTTTGGATTTTTTGTGTTTTGCGTGTTTGTTTTAAGAATCCTGTGCGCTATCTAATATATAATCATTTATAATATGTAATCATTTTATAAAATACTACCATCATAAAACTAATTGAAGTTGGTTCTGATTGAAGAAAGCCAGAAAACAGCTTCAGAAACAAAAGTAAAATTCCAAAGCCTGGTGATATCAAATTTATGGCTAGTAACAGTATAATTATCCTTTTTTTAAGGTCTATATCTAAAAATATTTAATTTCCATCAGAAGATTGTCTTCAGCTGAAACTAGTGAAGTTTAATTTTTAGAAACTACTACAGAGATCACAAATGATGACTAGAGCTCCTTGCATTACAAAAATAGTCACTTTTTATACACTGCAGCATCAGTCAAAAACAAGAACCGATTTTTTTTTTTTTTTTTGATGAAGACTTTATCTAAATGAATTAAGAAATTAAACTAGAAGGAAAGGAATCATTTTGAAGATTTTGAACCCAATGGGAACAATTTGTGACATCACAGAATGAAAGGAAGGACCTTGCGTGCTCTGTGTTTCAGACATTGAATGGACAATTTCTGGTGTTAGTGTCCTCTTCCAGTGTCCTCTTGTCTAACTACATTTAAAGATGGGAGAAAAGTCCATCACCATAAGCAGCAGCCTCATAGAATCCACTAGATACTGGGAAGAGGTTTTTATCTCTGACACTTTACCAGTTTTTTTTTTGTTTGTTTTGTTTTGTTTTTCCTGTGAGGCAGAATTGGAATTGCTTCTGCAAAACTCTTTTAATCAGTATATATGAAATGGTCTCCATATGCTTTTTCCTATGGAAGGATGCCTGTTCAAAACATTACTTCTTAGTAGTAGCAACAGTGGGGTTTGCCAGCCAGAATGGTATTTACATGAGGGCTGTTAAAATCCACTCTTTAATGAAGCTATGAGTGGAAATAGATTTTAAGAATAAGCTTGAATTTTGGCATCAGTATTAACAGAAAACTTCAAGATTTCCTACCTTAATGGAAACCATCAAAATAGAGCGTGTTCAATACATGTTCAGTAGAGCTACTCAATGAAAAAAAAAAAAATCTTTCTTTTTAACTACATGAGAAGTACGAAATAAAAGTATGCTAAAACTTCAGAGCTAAAATACTATGTGGCAGCTTTATTTTCTTTTGTTAAGGTAATTTAATTTCCATTTGTATTGCATTAGTAGCAAATGAAGAACTGGATGGAAAACACTTAGCCTGTTCTTGTGGAACAAGAAAACATCCCTTTGGAAATACAGATTCAAGCCCTACTGCTGTAACACTGTGCAATCTTTGCCATGTCTCTTATTCCTCATGTGCCTGAACATCTTTGTTTAAAGGGTTCTGTTATACTCAAAAGGGTATGACAGCGATAATTGCTTTAAACCTTCAAGAGTGTCTGTTACTCTGCAGTGCTACAGGCCAAGAACTTCAGAACTGATAGTTGTAAAGAGTTAGACATGGAAAAATGAAACAGAAGATGGAACTTTTTGCCTGCAAAATGAACTCTTTCTGTTAATTTCATTGGAGTTTGCTTTTTTTTTTTTTTTGTGGTTTTGTGACTTTAATAACAGCTGTCACTAACAGACTCCTTAGTTTTGTTTTAATTTTAAAATTATACGTACTTTCTGAACATTTTGTATTGAAATAAATAATAGTCTACATCCTAGAAAGAAACCTTATATAAGGAAATATTTTTCTGTAACTCCATGTAGGACATTCAAAGAAAACACAATTCAACACTAATATATGTGATGACTGATTTTGGCAGAAGAGTTTTTCACTATCCGAACGGTAAATTTAGAGTGGGATTTCCTAAGAATATGCAAGAGTTATGTGGAGCTTATCCAAGTACTTTCCATTGTCAAAAGCACAAAAGCTGTTTTTCTCTGTTATCTACTTTATTAAATCCTACAGTGTTTTATATATATCCAGTAAATGTAGCCATGCTCTCTAATTGCATTTTTTTTTCTTTTTCCTTCTAACTAGAGTCTGTGTGTATTTACACCACCAGGAGCTAAAGAAGGACAACCACGGCTCATTCCTGCAGGGCCCATTGCACATGGCACTACAGTATCTGCTTATGTAGCCAGATCCAGAAAAACGTTGTTAGTAGAAGATATTCTGGGGGTAAAAGGCTTCTTCTTTTTAATGAGAAGAATGTAACTTAGAATGAATATTTTGATGCTGAGGTTTATTGAGCTGAACGTATAATGATATAATTTATATCTCTCTTGCTACCGAGAAAATAAGTTTAAGTTTGGATTGGATTAAGCTTGCTCTAGTAAATTCAGAACATCCAATTCATTTCTAAATTTTGTGTGTGTGTGTGTGTTGTAACATATTTTTGTTGTCAATTAATGGAAGTAATGGTATCATAGTCACTTAGAAAGATAAATAAACACATCAGTCAAAACACATGTCCTCCTGGTCTTGAAATACTCTATTGTGCCAGTCCCAAACAAATAGACTTCCACATAGTCAATCAGAGTCTGATTTAATTATAGCACTTCACTTGTACTGACAAGAATCTCAATCAGAATTCTGATTGTTAGACAGGATTTTGATCTCTACTTACATTAATGTAAAGCCAGAATGTTTACATTATCAGTAGAGTTACATCAAAGGCACATTAATGTAACTGATAGCAAAATTCCTGCTCCTTTTTTTTTAAAAAAAAAAAAGAATTGAGATGCTCCTCATGAGATATTGTGATGATTTCTGGCAATCTGTATGTCTGTCCTTTTTCATGTTTTGAAAAGCTTATCTCCCTAGTCTACAATTACACCAAATAAGCAGTTAACTTATACTGTATGAGAGAACACTTTGAACAGGAACAAACACACAAAAAAGCAGAAGCTGCTTTCTATGTAGTAGCAATTGGTACTTACCTGGACTATAATGTGTTTATGTGCTGCTAGGCTTTTTCATTCTTTAACATATGGGGCCTAAGATGTTACAGGCAATTTCCAATTAATGTAATGATGGGCTTGTCTGTGAAAGTTGAATATTTTGATTTTGCATCCCTAATAAAATTCAGGGGAGTTATTAGGGATGAGTTTTGAACTCCTTGCTGGTTTACAGTGTCAGATTATCAGATTATTAACAGAAATCCAGACGAACTTTCTTCTTTGAAGTCTTTTTTTTTTTTTTTTTTTTCTTTTTTGGATGACCGTAGCGATCATCTAACATGTTGTGCCAATAGAAAAAGGTTAACTTGCTTTCACTGTGGAGTTCCAAGTTATGAACCTCTGCTAAGGCTATACATTATTTGCCTTCCTGTGAGTTTTGGACTCATACAAACTCATCAGACCTCTTCTGTGGAAGACATATAGGTGCTTTCCAGTCTCCTTTGCCTTTGAGGTTGTGTGAGGCTGTTATTTGTTCATAGTCATTGAAATTAGTTGTCATGTTGATAATTAAGGTAGAGCTTACTTGTTTGAGAAATGAGGGGATCCCCAACCACAGTGTTATTGGGTTGAGGAAATGGGAGTTTTTCTACACAGCATCTGCAGTGAACATCTGGTAGGAAACAGGTGGAAGAACTGGTGAGGAATCAAATGTGTCTAGCGTACTTCAGGCTGGTTAGATATTGCCTCACTGACAATAACATCCAGGTAGTTTCTCTTTGTGAGTTTTCCCACCTGAGGTGTTAAAGTTATGATGTTTTGGGTATTTCCCACTTCAAGAAAAAGTTATTCATTTGGGCCTTTTATACCAGCTAGTAGGCTATTTTTAACATTTATTCTTATAAATTTTGCACAGACTTATTCAGGATGCATAAGCAAGGGAAGAAGAAGGACTTTACTGTCATTTTTTTTCATCAGGAGTCAATTGAGGATTATAGCTTTGTTTGTTTTGTTTTCTTTCTTAATTTAGACTGGGATTAGCAGCAAAGTGCTGGTTTTCCTACCTGTCAGATTATAGAAAATATATTATAAAAGTAAACCTGAAGCTTAGCCTAACATCACAACTAATTCTGAATTTGCATCAATGTGTTTATTTGTGTATATAAGTTATTGCTGAGAAGATTAGATGTTTTTGTTGAATTTCATTAGTATGTGTCTTAAAGCTATATTTCAATTATGCTGAGAGTTAGAATTTTTAGTGAATTTTATCAGTAATCATATTTTCAAGCAGATTTGATCAGTCAGGAAGAGGAGAAAAATACCAGTGTATATTTTATATGAATGTTACAACGTTTATGTTTTATCAGACTATGTTTACATTTTCTAGGATGAGCGATTTCCCAAAGGTACTGGACTGGAATCAGGGACTCGTATCCAATCTGTTCTTTGTTTACCAATTGTCACTGCCATTGGTGATCTGATTGGTATCCTGGAGCTTTATCGTCACTGGGGCAAAGAAGCCTTCCGTCTTAGTCACCAAGAGGTGAGACCCCCACCTTTCATAATTTACTGTGAAATTCTCTGGGGTTAGCTGAACTGAAGAGTAACTATTCCTACAGAAAAAGCAGAAACTGTGCTAAACTAGATATTAAAATTAGTCCTCCCAACAAAAAAAGAAAAAGATTAGTAGTGTTTCTCAATTGTGTATTCTGTAACATAAGTTATTATGTTTGTATATTAGCCTGGCAGTCACTACATGTGGCTTCAGCCTCAGTGTCTCAGCTGGTGTTTTTTCTCTAGTAGACAGAGGTCATGGTAGGGTACTTGATTAATATGGTGCTGCTGGTGTGCCTATACACACAGCAAAGGAAAGACATTCGCACCAGCTTCGTAGGCCTTGTACTTCTGCTGCTTACACACAGTGTATTTATTTTTTGATTTCCTATTACATTAATCAATCTACGATTTATATAGTCTCAGACTATATATTTTATTGTTTATGCTAAATACCTTCTTTAACTGAAGTTCATTAATATTTTGCTTGTAAAAGACTGACTACTAAACAAAAGCATTTTATTTGTAAGTTAAACAGTATTTAAAGGTCACTTTTGAGTATTCTAAATCATCCTTTTGTTTTCAGTTTCAGAAAGCCTTTGAATACTGTTAGTGGTTTTTATAAAATCTGTACAATGTGTTCTATTAAAAAAAAAAAAAAAAAAGTAGATGAGACGGAATGCAGCAGCAGAGCTCTTGTACTTATGTCTTTCATGTTCCTATAAGGCTCCTATGTTTCAAGGACAGGTGATCATGTATAGTAGCACAGCTTAGTTAACTGCAGGTTACATGATGTTTTCTTGAAATGTTGCCTGGAAACTGTCATATTTAAAAGTACTCGTCCTGCACTGAGAGATCGAGTCTGGTTCTTCTGTCACTGAAATGAATGAGACAGTGCCTGTATAAAGCTGGAAGTAATTGTGGCTGAAGAGACACAGCTCCAGAAAGATGTTAAGGGATATTTTGTTTCTGTAGCAGATATTTAAAAAAAAAAAAAAAAAAAAAAAGGACCTAATGTATTTTTTAAAGTCCTCAACCTGTACACAACCTGTACGTAATGTAATTTTTAAGGTCCTCAACTTGTGAGATTTTTGTTTTTGTGTTTTGTCTCTGATCTGATTATTCTTAATATAATACCATTTCTAAAGCATCGATAAGCATCTTTGTGACACAAAAGAGGAGAAATGTTCTATTGAGGCTGAATGCACCTTACTGATGCTGAAACCCTTGTGAGAATACTGATACTTTCATGATCTAACAGTATTCCAGCAAATCATTTCTGTCTCTTTGTCTAATTCACTTACCAGCTGGATAGGAAAAATTATCAGGTAACTTATATGACATTATCAAGATTTTTTGAGAATCCCTTCTCTTCTGCTTCAGGTTGCAACGGCAAATCTTGCATGGGCTTCAGTAGCAATACATCAAGTACAAGTAAGTTTGGGTTGTTTTTCTTTTTTTTCAATCTGTAATTCTTCTTTCAGAGATTGATTGGTTGGACCATAGAATGTGTTTAAATTTAAGTGGAATCACTAGAGAATCATTGATTTAAGCTCCTTTCCAGATCCTGGAAAAAATATGCTAACTTTTTTGGTGTTCACTGAGCTCATTCTCTTCCCTAGCAACCATGGATCATATGATTTAATAAAAAGTATTTCTATTATTCCTTTTATTTTTAATGAAAAGAAACATTACCGAAGTAGGTAAGTAGTTACTAAATCAGAAATGGAAAAAAAAAAAAAATTGTTTTTTTTTCTTGTAATTAAGTAACTGCTAGGCTACCTGGTTGCTTTCCTCCTCCCGTACTAATCAGGTTTAAATTATTTGGTATTTCTGGCTAAGGCTGCTTTAAGCCATCTTTGCTGGCTGCTTCATGGTCCTACTCCCACTAAGAATGCTTCATGCTGTTCTTATTTGGGTGTCTAATGAAGCTCCATGCTGATAGCTGCTATTCAGCTTTACTAATAGGTTTCGTTCCTTCAGCTAATAGAAGATGGTAACACCAAAACTGAACCTATCCCATCAGCTCACAGAAGATGCTGAAATAGGTCCTTCTGTCAACTTACAGAAGGGAGTTTTGTTGCTTTTTTTTTTTTTTTTTTTTTTTAAGATGTCTTTAATTCATCTTGCATTAGACTTGTGCAAAGTTTCTTGCATTTCTTTATAGATTAATATTTACCACTGCAGTGCTGGAAATCCTTGACATTGTTTAGGATGATCATTCACCCTGGAACATTCAGAAATAATATGCTGACCTTGTTTATTGTACACTAATAGAATTCTAATCGTGTGCAGTTTTAACTGCACATCACTTTATAATAATGTTTTTAATGAAGAATCTTTAACACATAAGAAAACAAAACATGGAAATCTTAATTAAAGCTTGTTCAATGGTCATTTTCATTCCTCCCCTTTCTGTTCTTCCAGGCGAAAGCAGGAGGCTCATTCTGCCCAACTTCTTGCCTGGGAAGAACATGGGAGTTCTGATCTGATGTTAGGCTTTGCCTACTAGGCTAGTTAACTTTTAGATAGCTATGATAGAAGCCCAGCACACAAATCCAGCTTTTAATTTTATACAGTGCTGGAATACATTTAAAAACTTTGAGCTATAATGTTTAATACAAGTTAAGTGAATAGACCCCAAAACTTCAGTTTCAGTTTAGCTCTGACTTCAGTGACCTCTTGGAACAAATGATAATGTGATCTGTTCTTCCAGGTGTGCAGAGGTCTTGCCAAGCAGACTGAACTGAATGACTTCTTGCTTGATGTATCGAAGTAAGTATAGAGTCATAGAATCACAGAATATCCTGAGGTGGGCAGGACCACAAGGATCATTGAGTCCAAATCCTGACTCTACACAGGACCACCCAAAATTCAGACCCTGTATCTGAGAGCACTGTCCAAACGCTTCTTGAATTCTGGTAGCTTGGGGCTATGACCACTGTCTTGGCAAAGCTTTTTCAAAGTATGATTTCCACTATGATCTCATCAGCCTATTTTGATGTCCCTTCAGAGCAGGGACAGGAGAGAATTATGTGGGTGATAGTCAGATACAGCTGTTAAACTTTTCTGTTCTTATTGCAGGAGAATATGTAAGATACAATTATGACATACAAAATATATTTGGTCATGTGGTCTTCTGTATGGCTGGAAGCTCTATTTTTCTAACTGTAATATGTTTTTTTTTTTTTTTTTTTTTTAATTTCTCATCACAATAAATGCAGAGATTAAGCTGAAAGTTTAGGCTTAGATTTATGAAGTCAATATAATGTTCTAGGTAATCTGCTTGTCCTTCATCTCTTTGTCTTTGTTGCTATTTTTTAATAGATAGCTGTAAAAATGGGCATTGAGGAATAATGCTGTAACACACAGGTGCTTTAGCTCTCAGTGAACAGTTCTCAAGTTGATGGGATTAGCAATTGCTCTAGCAAGCAAATAATCAACTTGCTTTTAAAAATGATTTGTACCTGTTCCTATATGAAAAGATTTCTATTCAATGAGAAAATTGATAGCATGCAATATTACTGGGACATCTCCTGTAACATTTTAGAAAAGGCAGTGTATCTTCATGACCCTGAAAGTGTGAGACTAATGTAGTATGTACCTCTTCATTCAGTAGACACAAACAGAAGTGAGGTTATTAAGACTTGGTATGTGGAAGATTTAGAATTATTTTACTAAGAAGTTTGACCTTTATCATTCAATGTTCTTGACTGTCCTTGGACAGTTACCTCTTCGCTGTGAGACAAGAATTGAGATAATCTTGGTTTTTTTTAATCTCTATTTTAAGTCATAATATCAGTTGTCTGCCAAGTACAGTGTGCTGCATCTGGGCCAGTAGAAAATAAGAGAATACTCATTGAGAATTTCATAAGTTTTTTCTTTTTAAGTACTATTAAAAGATGGGCAATATGACATGAATTTAGCTACAATGCATAGTATTCAGTAGTTCTCATTACATAATTCTCTATGCATAATTTTTTTTTTTTTTTTTTTTTTGCTTCACTTTAAAAAAATTTAAGTGTGTAAAAGATGGCAAAGTATTTTGGTACATTCTTGGCACTGCTCAGCAGGGACCTGTTGAGTCCAAGGCAGGCAATGCTTGGTAGTCTTTTTTTTTCTGTAGTGGTTTGTCACTGTAGAATAATGGCTTATAGGAAGAGAGCTAGGACCACTGCTGAATTTTCTTGTGCAGTAGAAAGCCAGTCATTGATTTTTAGGTGCAGTTCTTCTCGTCTGTTTTGGCTAAACTGTTCAGTGGCTGCGAAACAAGAGCTGGCAACAGTCATTTGAGAAGCATTTGACAAATTGCAAATATTTATTAACTTTTCTTTCTCTACAGAACATACTTTGATAATATAGTTGCAATAGATTCTCTACTTGAACATATAATGGTAAGTTTTCTTTTTCACTTCTAATTTTGTTAATCATTGTTATCAAAGTTCTTTATCCTCCTTTCCTTGAAGTAAGACATTGCACATTGTTGAAGTGTCAGAGCTGTTTATATCAGACAAGTAATGCAAACAGAATTAACGTCTCCCTATGGAGGAGGAAAGGAAGGATCAGCTTGTATTTGGTTGTTGCAACAATTTCATTTCACAACTCTCATAAGTAATCACATAACTGTCTCTGACCTGTGCATTTTCTATTGTGTGTTGAAGGTTTTAAAATTGTAACAAGAAGACTTCTGTTTTTGTTTCAGCTTGTTGTTCCTTTTTCCTAAATTCAATTTTCTACATACTGCAAAACACTTATGAAGAAATTGCTGTCTATAGGAGGTCTAGAGTTCAAACGTTACTTCTACAGTATTTGTTCTAGCTATTGAGTGAGCTGTTGAAAACATGACATCCATTTAGCTTTGCAAAAGTATCTGCACCCATAGCCAGAGTAAGTCAGTCAATATTGTATAAAAAACATAGGAAAAAAAAAAAAACAAACTTAGAAGAATAAGTCAAGTCTATTGAAATAGTTAATATTCTTTATTTAATCAGTGAATTATAGTAAAGTTAAGAAACAGAATATAATTTTTTGAATCATTTTCATATTCTGAATTATTTCCTGAATGGTGTCTACAAATATCTGTGGATTGGTTGCCTGTAGCACATTTTAAGTGTTTACCATGTCAATTGTGCTTCTTAGCATTAGTGACATTCATTAAATAATGCAGTTCTTTTCCCTGATTGTAAATCTTCATCATGTCCCTGGTATTATTACTTCAATCTGCATATTCAAATATACTCACCAACAGTGCTCCATTGCATATCTTGATCTCCAGAGTGATACTTAGTCTAGAATATTCAAAGACCACAAACTAAGAATGCAAACATTGTAAAAGTGGTTTTATTTAGAAACTTGAATTAGTTATGGAAAATACTCTGCGGTGTTTGCCTTATTCTTGTTAATACATAGTCAAGACTTCTGCACATTCTGAACATTGATTTTTCCAATTCAAATGAACTGTTTAAAAATAGCTTAACATTTAAAGGAACTGGAGTAATACAGTGTATGGCATTGAGAACAAATATTGACATTCTTCCCAACTCTATGATGAGAGGTCTGGTGGAAAACACAACTGGCAGTTAAATATGCTTACTCTTTCCTCATCTTTTCCAACACTTGGCTGCATCCTAATTCTGCAGTTTTAACCTGCATACAGGCTCCATTCTGATCTTCCTTTGTGATCTGTAGCAGTTGGCTGTTTCTTGGGCCAATTAATTGAATTGCATTTGCACATTTATTGCCATTTTTTGGGAGGAGTGCAATTCTGTTATTATGTAGCATCTTCTGTAACTCAGAATGAGGGAAGAATGACAGTAGATTTCACCTCACTACTTCGCCCTTCAGAGACTGCACTAAAAATTAGATTTGCTCATATAATAATAAAGATAACGATACAGGGATTTTAGGATTCTTATTTTCATTTTCATTAAAATTCCACGGTGAAGTTAATGCTATGAAGACATTCTTGAAAATAGATGCAAGGAGGAAAGCAGAAGTTACCTTTTTCTCAAGTGGACCCTTTCTCTTTTTTTTGCCCAAGTATACGTTCACTCCTCTGTTTTGAACAAAGGAACAAAAGGTTTGAGTGGTCAAGACCTTTACATTTCTTACTCCTCTAAGCAAGCAGTATTTCTCAAAAGTTACTTATTAGCTTGCAGTCTCCCTGACCTTCTCTATGGTATTTGATTGGATGATGCCTTGTGGGTTTTACTTAGCTGAAGGGGAACCTGCTAGGTCTCAGCTTTTGTGCAAGGACTGCCACTAGCATCAGGAGATGGCAGCTATTTCCTGTGCTGTTACACATGGCAATCCATCACGATACTTCTAATTTTCCTGTGTTTGTTTATTTTTATGTGCCACAAGCACATTAAGTTTCTTTAGAAATGCACACTAGTTTCTCTGTTATGTTCTTCATTGGATATTTGATACCAATATGTTTGCAGTGAAGACAAAGAAAAAAAAGTCAGAACTATTCTTGAGTATTGCTATAACCTGTCTATTTAAAATTCATAGAATCGTAGAATTGCTCAGGTTTGAAAAGACCTTTAAGATCATCAAGTCCAACCGCAACCTAACCATACTACCCTAAATTATGTAAAGGTGAAAAATTCCTAAAAATAGGGAGAATGGTACCATTCTGAAAAGCATGTGTTGAAATGGGAATGCAGCTAAATAAGAAGACTTTTTCTCTTTTAGCAGGCATTCAAACCTCTAAAGAAACCCCTGCATTTTACAATAAGAACACTATAATTAACAGAAAGTACTGAAGAAAAACTACTACATTTGCCATTTGAATTTTGTGCCATTTAAAATATCGCTGTGAAGGTGGATGGTGCTTAAAACAGACTTATTTATCAGATAAGTGACTGAAGTTAAGTTAACCCATGATCATTAACTTTAGTTTTATCTTTTGTCTGTAGATATATGCAAAAAACCTGGTGAATGCAGATAGGTGTGCACTCTTCCAGGTTGACCACAAAAATAAGGAGCTGTATTCAGATCTTTTTGATATTGGAGAAGAAAATGATGGGAAACCTGTTTTTAAGAAGACCAAAGAAATAAGGTGAGAGTAGCTAGCAGAAGAATGCAGTTTCCTTGTAACTAGGGCTTTGCAGGCATTTTATTACCCAGTCGCTGTGCCTATCTGCAGGTACCCTGACAATACTTGTCATACTGTGATATCATTCCCACCAGGACCCGCCTCCAGAAGGTAGTACTTCTGGGAATGACATTGCAGTGCCATCGAAACAACGTCTCTGAAGCTATAACGTCACTCCTGGAAATGCCGTCTTCCGGAGGCGGTCCTTTTGGAAATCATGTTGGGAAAAAAACAGAGGTGTTCTGAGGTAGGTAAAGGTGCAGGTAAAGGTGCACCTAATCCATAGATCTACCAGCATGGGATGACTTTTCCCAAGAGGGTTCCCGAGAGGATTTGAAATTCATGCTATTCAAGGACATCCAAAGCAAGAAAATGCAATTTGTACTTCTCATGGATGGAATAGGCATAGAATCTGGTATGAACTGATCATTGGTTTTGAAGATTTTAAGTTCAGTGTTTTATTTTTAATTTTTCTGAAGTGAATTTAGAGTATTTTAAAACTTTTAAGGAACTGTGATTCTGAAGTATGTTTGAAATCGTGAAATTGATGTGTATTTCTGTTTCCCACAAGTGTTAGGTTTTTACATATATGCAAATTTTCAATGAAGGAGGCAAAATGACAAAATAAATGTAACATTTTTTATTTTTTAAAAGTGACAATTTTTTAATAGATATGCCTTGGAATTTTCAGAGAGACACAGGTTTTAAACCTGTGGCTTTTTAAAAAAGTATTACTAAATATACTGCACCAAAATTTTATTAAAATACTCAACAGTGAATTTTTTTCAGATTTTCTAAAATTCCATCTTTTTCTTTTAAAATTCACGGCCAATGTGGGATGTGATTCATATCATCACCTGAACCCCTTCTGACAAACTTGCACCCACTTATTACGTTGTATGACTGCAAATGGAAGCACTCAAAATTCGTGCAGTTTATATACTGATGGGCAAGAAGGTGGAGTACACTAGAGAAGGTGGCTTACTTTAACGTGTAGTTTTATGCTCCTTAATAATTTCTTTTTTGCTTATATCTTTATCTTTCTATATGAAAATTATTGTAACTTTGAATAAGAAGGTATGAACCATTTCAAGAGTGAAGTATACTGAAAGTGATGTATAAATTTAGTATCTGTTAGAGTGACACTGAGTCAATCATCAGGAAAGAGTTGAAACTGGTATACTGTTCAAATAATAAGAAATAGCAACTAGCATAAAATCTGAGTGTACAGGATGAAAACTGACTGCTTGGACACTAACATCAGTAGGGGCATGATACTACACAGGCACGTTTAGATTTGAAAGTGTTCCACATGATTCTATCTTCATATTTTTTTCTCCACATATCATTTTATGCTTATATTTTATAACTGTTTTATGTCAATTGAGATTATTTCTAAGCAAGAGAGACTTGTAGACTTTTCTGATTCAACTCTTGAATGTGCTTGCTGTATTTAATTATCTTGTGGTAATTAGTTATATAGCTATTACCATGGTGTTGTTTGAATGTCATGAGGTAAAACATGCAACTTATTCTGAAGTATATATAGCAAATGCGTATGATGTTTAGCTTCAACATTTCCACTGGTCTTCTTTCAAGTTTTTGTTTGTTTGTTTTTAATCAAATCCATCTGCCCCTTGAATAACCAAGTTCCATATTGTATATGATGTGTCAAAGTTAAAAATAAATATGTAAAAGTAATGATGAAATTGATGTATTGTAAAGGTAAACACAAGTCATAGGTTTTGTTCAAATGTCATATTTGTTAAGCACAACCCCCAAGGCTGTTGAAAACATTGAATTTTTGTCACTAAAATGTCTTACCATGGCATATTTTGTTTTCATCTGCATATACATAATATTTTCAGAAAGATTTCAGAAAATATCTATTTGAGCATGTGCTTTTTATTTTATTTACTCTTGTTGCTGTCTTCTAGTTTTTCTCCTAAAAGCATTGGCATGATGCTGCTCAGGAGCACATGTCTCTTACTGTGCCCAGGACAGACTCCAGTGGAAAAATAGCTTTCCAGATAGTTCTTATTGTGACTAATGCATTTATTTATTTATTTATTATTGCAGATTTTCTATAGAGAAAGGAATAGCTGGTCAAGTGGCAAGAACCGGGGAAGTCCTTAACATCCCTGATGCCTATGCAGATCCACGCTTTAACAGGTAACATGTTATTCACTAGGGGAGATAAAAGCTCACCAAACTGCAATTATATTTCCTACTTACATTTCATATTTGAGATTCATTCACTGATCCTTGATATTCTGTTAAGGAGCAAACCTATAGATATTCCTTCATATTCTTTTACCATTACAGATATTTCAATGATAAAAATAATTTTTTTAAATTATTATTTTTATTTCATATGTGTATCAGGAGAAGAATTTTATTTTTTCCTGGTACAGAACTTTGCCAATTAAGTGGAAAATTTTGGAGGTGAACTTCTGGCATCTACCTTGAAACTATGTCCTCTATTGTAAATTCTCTTTTCTAGGAAACAAGCAATTGGTACTAATAAATAATATTGACTCTCTCTCCCTCTCTCTCTTTTTTTTTTTTTCCTTTCTTTTATTTGGCCCTTCAGAGAAGTAGACCTCTATACGGGCTACACAACCAGAAATATCCTGTGCATGCCTATTGTGAGCCGAGGAAGTGTAATAGGCGTTGTGCAGATGGTGAACAAAATAAGTGGAAGTGCCTTCTCTAAAACCGATGAGAACAACTTTAAAATGTTTGCAGTCTTCTGTGCTTTAGCCTTACACTGTGCTAATGTGAGTTGTTTTCTTTTTTCTACAATTTTCTAAAATGTTGGTTATAACATAAGACTTAGAATTTTACTTAAGTAGTTCATCTGCTGTTTCATCTTCCAGATTATTGAAGTGATCCATATATCTGTTTCACTGAATTAATAAGGAACAAGGAATCATTTAATTATTTGCTGAATAGTTGTCCTTTAGTGGAATGGTAGAAATTTGTTTGATGCTTCCTGAAATAATTGTATGCTAGGTAACTCCATTTTATACAGCTAAACAGCAAGAGAAAACTCTGAAAATCGAGTACTGCCTTCTATTGTTTTCCATTAGAGAATATGCTTCTTATTCACCTTCATAAGTTCAGATAATATGTTCTAGAAATTTAATAGGAGGATGAAGATTGCATGTATTCTCCCTAGATCATAAGCTTAATATTCAAAAATATACATTGTAAATGTATACATTTAAATGCTGCAATATATAGTTAGGATTATTAATGCCAGAAAAGGGTGGATAATTACTTTCATGTTTAAACCCTGTATTTTCAGAAAAAAACCTACTATTCATGTAGAAAGTTCAAACAATTGAATGGTTATTGCTATATAAGTATAAAAATGTAATGCAGAATAAATCACTCATTAATAAGAGGTAAGACAGTATGTCAGTTAAGCCTGGTAGTTTACATGAAACCATTTTACATCATACTGCCATTAGACTGAAGAAGCAGATTATATCTAAATTTACTTAAAACTTGTTCCACATGACTCAAGGCAAGTAAAGAGGCCAGCATATAAATTAAATCTGGGACTACGTGATCATTCTAATGTGTGCAAGTTCACTCATTTTAATAGTGTTTCTTAATATTCAAGAGCACTACTTGTGCTGTGTCCTCACTTGTTCATAAACCATACAATGTTTGCAATAGCTGTGTGAAACTCTCAGTTAATTACAAAGAGTTCCTATTTTTTTTAGTACCAAACTTCAGCATAGAATCATAGAATTACCTGTATTGGAAGGAATCTTAAAGGTCATCCAGTTCCAACCCCCCGCTATGCATAGGGCTGCCATCAACTAAACCAGATTGGCCCAGGACCCTATCTAACCTGGCCTTGACTGCCTCCAGTGATATGTAAAGTTGGGCAAACAAAATCACAAATATTTTTTGTAAATGAATGGTTTAAGAATAAGTGCTTGAATACAGGAAGGAAATGCTTTTTTCCTTGATTGAAATCTCACATTAATGTATGACTTCCCTTTTTCAGATGTACCACAGAATTCGCCATTCAGAGTGTATTTACCGTGTAACAATGGAGAAGCTATCCTACCACAGTGTTTGTACTGCAGAAGAGTGGCAAAACCTCATGCACTGTACACTGCCTCCACATATTTATAAAGAAATTGAACTGTAAGTACTTTCTCAATATGCAAACAACTGCAACCAGTATCTGTCTGTGAAAAACAATGATTGGTTTTCCCTAGGTATAGTGGAGGATGTTTAAGGAAGCATTTTTATTGTAGAGCTAAGCCAATTATCCTAGGTGTTTATCTATCTAATAGCCAGTTAAACTTCGTGACCTGTGAACAAAATGCATTTCTCAAAGATGTAAAATTATACCTTCTCAGAGTGGTAGCATTTTCCACAGCTATGTATACAGCAGTTACATTAATTTATATTAAAGCTTTGCAAAGATGAGCTAACTTTCCAGAAGTCCTAAGTCACCAACAGCTCAGAGCCCTCAGTAGTTAAGAACAATAGCATGACGTCACCACTTCTTGTATATTTTAGAGTAAAAGATTCAGATCCTTCCTGGTTTTTTTGGTTTTTTTTTCCTTGCTTTTTTTTCTGTGTATGCGTTTTATGCCTCTGCCTGTATTTCTTGAAGGAGGGGAAAATTAATGCAGATCTCCAAACTTCTGAAGATGATTCAGGGCTGTGAATCCTTGGTAGTAGGCTTTAAAGTTAGGGTCTAACTTCAGAGAAGGACTTGCCATCCTTTAGTCTACAATATCTGAATAATCTTAGGCTTTCTTTGAAATAATTCAGTTGCTGTTAGACCTCAAGGGTCTGCCAAGTACTGAAGATGTGCTTTTATCTGTGTTATATTGGTGGTGCTAACACTGCGACTCATCTGAGGTTTTAAGTCACTGTTTCTGGCAGGACAGTAAATTCTGCTGTAGTGACCGGGTGCCTCAAATCAAAACTTTACAGTTCTGAGTCAGAAAGTCTAAACTGTTTTACTTAACTTAATCTCTAGAGCTCACTTCTGTCAAGCGCTGAGACTGTAGCCATGATCAAGCAAATCATGCAAACATCCGTTTAACAGAGACTGCTTATGGTTAAAGTTCATTACATGCTGAAGTGATTTGCTTGAAAGCCAGTGTATTAGCAGCTTGCAGGATTATGCCCTAATATAATCTTTCTCTTTGCAATACAGTTTCTTGTGCTTTGTTAGATGACATTATATAACCCACCTCCTTAGCAAAATGTTTTTTACTTCTAAAGGTGACAGGTTTCATTCTAAATTATATTCACATCATTTCGTTTGAGGACTCTGAATGCATTTAACCATTTTCCATGCAATTCAGCTGCCTTTAGCTCTCTCGCACCTGCTTTGCTGTTTGATATGCCACATACATGCACAAATGTTTAGCTAGGTTCAGTGGAAAGTAAATGGAAGACTTGTGGCACAGCAGGTGCAGGGAAAGGGGTTAATTAATAATAGAAGGACAAACAGTTCTGCTGGTCATGTCCCTAATGTTATGCCTAAATGTTGATACTGAGTGGAAATAAATCCTTAGTTCATGAAACATAAAAAATGCAGTATTCAATGCTGGATTTTTTTTAAGTTTGTGCTTAATTTCTATTAGCCTGTAAAAGGTGATTTCAGCAAAATTAGATCAAGTCTCACCAAATTTTTGACAGAAATTATGTGGAAAAAAAAGCCAGTTAATATATTGTTAGATACATCATTTATACAGTTCATGGGAGAAAAGTGATTTTAGGAGTCAACACAGATTTTTGTACATTACTTAAACGACAAATTCTTAAATAAATATTTATGTTTCTATGAATTAGACAAAGCCAAAGGCTAACCAACATAGTTTCCTTGAACTTACTAGAAATATGTTTATCTACGCTGCTGGAAAACATAGCCTGTAAAGTCAGTTTTCTATGTATATTCAGAAACAACTAAATGGTGTCAGATTCACATTATCTAGTCATTTTCACTTGCTTTTAGGAAAAATGAAAGAGCATTTGTTCTCACTAAGGTGAAACTTTCTTCTTAGATACCACTTTGACATCAGTCCGTATGAGGATGTGTGGCCTGCCATTTTTGTCTACATGGTTCACCAGTCCTGTGGGACAGCCTGGTATGAACTATATGATTAATTGCTTTAACTCCATTACTTATGGTTTTATTTATTTTGAAATGTTAAGTTCATTATTTTCTAATGCAGCATCTTAAACTTCTTTGGAGTTTATTTGCTTTGCCTGATCTGTACAGGACTGTGAAAAGCAGACTAGACTTCTTGCCCTAGCTTCTTGGTCTCTAATTCTTATTATTTGTGAACAGCAAGATGAAAGAACTGATACTGAACAGTTGTCCTTCCTATATGTAGAAGTATTGTTTGGTTCTGAGGTGAAATTAGTTTTTTTGCTTTTCAGTCTGAGGATTGTGAAGATATTAAAAGCACTCTTGTTAAAATCAATTATCAGCAAAATTGTGCATTAATTATGGAAGTGAGCAATTTCAGAATTAAAAGTCATTTCATTTACGGTCCTTTCTCTCAGTATCTGTTACCATTGCCAACATCAGCAGTCTCTTGACCAAGTGTACTCCCACTGCTTAGAGAAAGGAACTTCATCACATTGTGGAAAAATTTATAAATGGGCAATTGAGAAGGGAAGTATATTCCTGCAAAATTGAGGAATATTTGGGAAGCATTTATTGGTGGCTGTTTCATCTTAATAACTAGATGAATTTCCATGCCCTCTAAACATTAATATAGTCAAACCTGGGGGTCTTTCTCTTCTTCTCTTCAATACTGCAAAGTGGATGACTGGTCTAAGTATAGTTCTGGACTGCTCAACATAATTAAGTTATTTACATTTCTGAAAGAATGGCTGGGATTCAAGATTTGTGTTCAGGTTTTCATTTCTATTTTTTGCCTCTATCATTATTGCTTTTTCAAGGTGTAACTTTGATGGGAATAATTGGTATCTACATGATATTTTTTCAAATGAGTCTCAACTCTCACATAAAAATTTAAGGAAACAAAAGTCAGAAAGATGTTTGAAGATGAGACTGTTGGGACTGACAGACTTGCATTTAATTTCTGAAGGAACAAATAATCTCAGCTCTCCAAAAAGGACTTCAAGAAATTTGCAGCTGTTTTAAGACTAAAACTTGATTTTAATTATATTGAGGAGATTGTGTCTTTAAGTATACACCTGTGTAATCCGTAACTGTCTTGCACAGGGAGGATTTTTTAAGAAAAACTGTTCATACTCATTACGATTTCTGTTCTCTCATGAAACAATTTTTTACTGCTTTAATCATCCATACAAAATGCAGTTTTGGAGGAAGTAGTAGTATTCTACATTGAAGTAACATTGGTAATGATTTTCTCTTTGTCTTCAGTTGTTCTATTGAATAGATATTGGATGGATAATGTATGCAGTTGAAAGCAACTAGTGTGATTTTTCTGGGTTATGATGCAGTATTTCAAACAGTAGTTTTAACAATTACATCAGAGGTGTCTGATTTAACTTTCTAGAATTAGAAGTTAATTCAAGCTATTTTTGAAATACTACGCCTCTATTTTTACTAATATGTTAAAGCTAAAGCAGAAGAATAATTATGTTTCTCAGTATGCAACCATAGAAATATATTTTCTCTAACTAAGTCTGTATAGTAAATTTGTGTTCACAGTTTTACCTGATAAATTAGGGATACCCAGCTTTACTTTCTCAGCTCGCATATATTATATTAATACTGCTTCCATGAGATATACAAGAAATAATAAAAAAAATAAATCTGTAAACAAAAAGAATTCTTTCCTTTCAAATGCTGTGTAGAGCTCTGATTCTGTGGGATATAACTCTTGGAAGTGTTCTTAAGCCACATAAGCCAAGCATAATAATTATTTAACTACTTTGTAATATTACTTTAATGAAAATATTTTTGATTTTGCTTGCATATGTTAATGTAGCAAGGAGACACACAAAAAAAAATCATTTAAAATGATATCATTTGATGAAAATGGAGAAACACTCAAATGTTGTTTTTTATTTTTTTTCCATTATGTCATTATGGAGAATCTTTATATCTTTTATTCAAAACAATTTTTGTATTGGCATTTAACTGAAATGTTGTTTTAAACAAGAGTCCATAAAATCTTCTAGTTTTATGTTTTGAAAATATTTTACTTTCAAATTATGAATTAGACAGTTTTGATATTTTATCGGTGGAATAGATAAAGAAAAATTACTTGAAGGCTTTCTAAGTTCATGTAATTGTTTTGCCTGAGCTGGATACCTAGAACTGTGAGTTTTGTCAAGTATTTGCACATTTTTGTCCTTACCAAAACTCCCAGCAAGGAGTACATGCAAGAACATCTTTTCCTACTCTGTTCCTTATTTTTTCCATTCTTATTTCTCATCTCTGACCAAACTGATTTCTTTCTAGCTTTGAACTTGAAAAGCTATGCCGATTTACTATGTCTGTAAAGAAGAACTATCGTCGTGTGCCCTATCACAACTGGAAGCATGCAGTTACAGTTGCACACTGCATGTATGCCATACTTCAGAACAACCAGGGGCTCTTCACTGATCTGGAGGTAGGTGTGATGACTGTTTCAGTTACTAGACCTCATTAAGAAGTATTGACTATCTTAGATGATCTTCTGTGCTTGAGTTTTCCTGTCAGCTTGGACAGGATGTAAAGAATCTCATGATTTCTGCAGTGGAGTTGATGTGAGCAGGGAGCTTAAGGAAAGAGAATTCTTCAAACTCTGTTTCCTTCACAACAGTAGCAGATTTGCTGTCTCTGTTTATATTTTAATGTTCTCCCTGTTCACCTACAACCATAATCTTTATTTTAATCATTCAATTAACTGTCGGATCTGTACTGAGAGGAAGGAAACACCTTGGATCTTGGACTCTGGGAGATCTGTAAGATTCTGTGTAGGAGAACAATGGAGAACGGCTTGGTGTCACAGAGATTGTTGGCATATATGAGTAAAGGAGTAGAAAGGGTGGAAGGGAAAATGGTTGTCTATGTTTAGTCACTGATTAACTTTTATTATATAAAAGTTTTTCTTAGTGTGCATCTTTTTTAAGATAGTTGCAAGGAGTTCAGAAAAATAAAAATATATATACCTTAATTAGATCGCTGTGAAAGTTCTGGTAATAAAACAGAAGGCTTATATGGTTAGATATTAATACACACTATAAAGAACTGCCAGTTGTTTTTTGCCTATATTGCTGTAGGTGCAACTGAGAGTGATGTTTATTATAAATGCTGCCTGAAACTTCCAGGCTGGAAGAACCTGTTTTAGGTTGTGTATAATTTTGCCAAATACTGACCACTTGAGTTGCAATTTCCAAGATTCCAGGCTTCATCTGGCTAAAAGATTCATTTGGGGAAATTTCAGTCATTGTTGTTTACTAGAAGTATGTTTGGAAAAAACATGTTCTTGTTCAGCGTATAAATATAATATAAAATTAAATAAAGTCTTGTTGAAAATGTTTTAGCAAATTCTGCTTTAAAAAAGGGTCTTGAAAAGTGGCTCTGCAGTAAGAAAGTGGTATTTGCCAGGCTCATACTGTAAGTCAGCAAAATTATCCAAGTTTGAAAAAATAATGTTCCTTTAAAAACAAAAATCTGTAGATTTGCACAACTGGGGAATATTTAAAGGTCTCTTAGCTTCCAGTGCTAACCAAGTAGTTGTGTAGTGGTGCTTAAAGCCAGAGAAGTATAGAAGAAACTGCTCAAGTTCCTTCCTGAAGCAGAACCCCTCCAATAACATGTGATTGTGAAATAACTTTTTCTAATTTATAAGGTATAAAAAGATCTGAATTTCAGACAGAAGATTTTAACTCTGTATTTCCTCACTTCTTCTCAAGAAACAACTTGAAATTTTGATGAACATTGCTATGCACTATTTAAAGGCAATGTAATCCTAGTCCAACGTTTACAAGTATTTTGGGAAGACAGTGACATCTAGGGGCAGAAAATACAACTTAGTTTTCTTGTTCACCTCTTTTTCTCTCTATTTTATTTTTTTATTTTTTTATTTTTTTGTAGCGAAAAGGTCTTTTAGTTGCATGCCTATGTCATGATCTGGATCACAGAGGTTACAGCAACAGCTACCTTCAGAAGTTTGATCACCCTCTAGCTGCTCTCTATTCCACATCAACAATGGAACAGCACCACTTCTCACAAACTGTGTCCATCCTGCAGGTAGGGTTATTGTATCTTCTGTGCAGTAGTGTCCAGTGGTGAATATATGAATTGTATCATTACCAAGTAGATTTTATAAAGCATGCTAAATTTGCTTTCTGAACTGTAGTGCTCATCTGGAAGTATGGACAAGATTTGCCTTGATTTATTACAGCAATCTAAGGTCTCAAGCATTCAATATTAGCAAGCCAAGCATTCAGTAATAGTGCAAAACGTAGCTTTTCCAAAATCTTGATGTTACAAAAATACTGTGCATTTTAACATCTTTATTAATGATCTTCCTTTGGATATGATAGCTTCTGGGTCAGGGAGGATTTCCCTTAAGACCGTACGCAATGGGAACTTCAAAAATGAAAATAAGTTTCTCACTTAGTTACATATTTTCTGTAGAATGTGTTTCATCAATGTCTTCAACTGTCCTGAAATTCTGAATAAAAATTAAAGACCTGACAAACATTTATATGAGAAGCTTGAAAACCTGCTGTAATAAATTCCATGAATGTTAAATATGTGGCATGAAGTGTGCGTAATTTTTTTACCGAGAAGCAAATGGTAAATTTGCACGCATGAAAAGTTTAAGCCTATTTCATTATGTTATGATATACTCTTTTGTTCTTCAGCAATTGGGAAAAAAGACCAGTAAGGTAATATTCTGTGATAATTCAACTATAAGGTAAAGTATCTGCATGTTTAATTAACAGAAAACTAGAAGAAAGCATGCAGATACATTTTGGGAAATCAAAGTGTGTTGCTGACACACAGATATTTTCTCCTTGGTGAAAAAAACTGTTCACATTCAATTTGAGGATAAAACTCTCACCTATGAAACAGCTACCAGTACATAATGTACTTGTGCTGGCTGTTTTTCCTTTACTGTGCACACGCCCAATGCATAGCCTTGCCATGCTACTGTACCACTAATTCATTGTTAACCTCTCTTTCTTTCTGATCTTTCAGGGGGAAGATATTTATTTTCTTAAATACCTAATCACCTTTTAGGATTATACGTATTCTGTATTGTATTCAGAAGCACATCTTGTGATTATGGTTTTAGGTATAATATACATTTCATCAGGGAATGGAAGCTTTATCTCTGAATATTCCTCCATGTGGGAGGGTGTAATTGAATCCTACAGTGGTGGTATGGCATTAGTTTTTTAGTATTCATTCTTCATGTGTTTGTGCACAGTAGTCCTCAGTCCAGTAACATTTCTCTGTCACACTGTGGCTATATGAAGCAGAATTCAGTCATTCTTTAATGAACATTTTGCATTTATACTGCAGAAATGCAGTGAAAGTTGCATTTACCAAAAAGGTGGGGAATCCTTTGCCTCTCTGCTGCCTCTTATCTTTGTCCGTCACAGCCAGTTGAATGTGAGGAGAGGCAGATAAGTATTCTCTAGAGTAGCTCAGATACTGACTGCCCAGGTGATCACAGGTGATGTTTAGAAGTACAGGTGTAGTAGATCAGCCTTTTGGACTTGTTTTGATATTGAATCAAATAGCCTTTCTGTTTACTTACAAAACTGTTGCAGAAGAAAGAAAGAAAAGAAAACTAAAACAACATTAAAAAAAAAAAAAAGAAAAAAAGAAAAAGAAAAAATAAAGAAAACCAAGTATTCCTTCAGGATTTATCTCAATGAGTTTTAATTTTATGCTAATAACCTGCAGTAGTTTTCACTTGAACCTTTATAGCCACTTTGTTCATTCACATGTAATTCTGGTTTATGCCTTAACTTACAAATATGGAAGATTCCATTCACTAGCTCTTGCTCAATGGGGAAGGAATAAAATCTTAGGAGCTATACCTTATATGTACTATGCAAAAGCCTATGTAACATGCTCAGAACCAGCAGCTCTCATTGGTATTTAATGACATCAGTTTTTTCTAGTACAATGAACAGGAGCTGTCACCGTGGTCTTCCTCGTGTTGGAGTTTCTAAAGCCTAGATAGAAGTCATAGATCCAAATCTAGCATAATTAAGTTTCAGGGCACATACCGTGTTCTTATGGACTAGGTAGCACGTCTGTGAAGGAAAACTCCAAAACCCCAAATTATGAAAATAAATAGTAGTTATTTCCTTGTCCCAAACTGTTGATGATGGGTTAACATGTTCTGAATTTTTTTTTTTTTAACATTGTGTACTGTGGCTCCGGCAGCTGTCAAAGGAGCATTAAGAAAGACAGATAGTCTGCATTTTCTATTTGTTATTCAGAACAAATCTTCTTGTCCAAGTAAAAAATGTTGGAAAACGACATTTATGTTCTGAATGGTGAAAGAAACCAAGTCTATTTGTACCAGAGAGGAATTATTTTGAACAAATTATGTAAATGCTTGACAAGTCGGGGAAACTTTTGATGAGCTTCAACTCAAATGCCAATTAAATGTCAAAACACATCTGCATTTGATATATTTTAATCATATTTTCTATTTATGAATGTCCACACCTTGACACGGCTGGCTCATTCTTTTGTATTTCTATGTTTCCTCTCAACAGTAGGGAAAACTTTTGACAAGTTGCTTTCAAAAGCTTAGAAAAAGTGAACGGTGTTGACTTGACTTAAAATGTGATATGAAGCTGTGAACAGTCACAGTACATGGATATTGTCAGTTAAAAGTGAAATAATATATGGTGGAAACTGAAAAGGAATGACAGTGGTATATCGCCAGAACCTCCCTAGTGGAAAATTTTCTTTAGTTAATAAATGAGTCAACTTAAGGTTGAATAAAGCAGTTTTTTTCCTCTGAACATCCATATACATTAGAGTACTGCAATTAAGCTTACTTCTAAAGAGAACATTTTATCAGTAAATGCAACAATTGCAGGCACGTGTCATTTGCAACACTCTGAAAACAAGATTACCTTAGAGCATTAACTTGGCTATTTCATTGTCTGTATTACTTGTTATGCACTATCAAAAATGGTTCTTCAGAGCGAATCAGGCATTCAGTTTACCAGCTTGGTAATGAAGTACTCTGGATCGGGATTAAATCACAAGTTCCCAGGCTTATATTATTAGGAAATACTGTACATACAGTGCTTATAAATTATAGCAGAAAAAACTAGCATTTTTCTCTATTAATATCTTCAGGCTTCAGAAGGAGCAGTCCCAAAACCAAATCAATGGCTTAGTCATAGTTTCATGAGACCATTTAAAAAGCGAAGATAAAAAACTGGGAATTTGCAACAAAAATTGTTATTGGTTGTAAAACTGTTGTAATCTGTCTGGTGAAGTAAAGACTGAAATCTTCTCAGAATTAGAGCTTGTGCTTTTTATTGGTTTTTTACTTTTTCATAGCTGGAAGGGCACAATGTCTTTTCCAATCTGAGCTCCAGTGAATATGAGCAAGTACTTGAGATCATCCGGAAAGCCATCATCGCCACGGACCTTGCCCTGTATTTTGGAAATAGAAAACAGCTTGAAGAACTGCATCAGGCAGGAGCATTAAACCTTAAGAACCAAGCACACAGGTAAAGCAACAGACCAGAATTAGGTCATCAGGGCGTTAATCCCAGTGCACGTTATTTCATTGAGATTTCTTCTACATAGTTCACCAACAGCTTATTAGCAGTAGAAAGATAGTGCACAGGCAGTTAAGTGGTGGGGGAAAAATGAAGTGCAATAATTATGTTATTTGTTATATCATTCCTTTTTTTTTTTTTTAAAGCATGTTTTTTGAAAGATTGTTCCTTACTAGAAGCAAAGTCATTTTTACTTAATCATTGGATGAGAAAATATCTCTTAGCCTCTCCATAAAGCACTAACAAACCCAAAACATAATTTAATTGCTGCCAGCTCAGCTGCTGATTTCTCATAACATTCTGCCTTGATGAAACAGTTGATTGTAGAAGAAATCCAAGCCAAAGAGAGAAACAAGAGAGAACTGTATTTTATTCTGTGCGAATTAAAATAGCCCTAAGTTTTAAAGCTACACAAAATATGCATATATTGATGTTCATGTATATACAGCTCTTTTTGTCCACAAAAACGTAACATAGTGTATCCTGAATGACACATGTCCCATAACAAGGTTGATTAAAATGTTCGTACAGCACTACCATACTCCCTTCATTGCTGCTGTACTGGAAAATTGATGGATGTTGCCTTGAACTAAGGGACAGCAAAATTAGAAAGGTGATACAGCAAGATATTAAGTCATATTTCTGATTTCGTTTTGAAAGGAATTTCAATGCTTGGATCTTCTTTAACTTTCTGTAGGATTTTACAAGTTTTGGCAGTAGTTTTGAATAAATTATCACAACACTGTTGGAAGTGCTTTTATTAAAAGCTTAACTCACAGGATGGAACTGAAATTAATCAAGCTTGAGAAAACATCAGTATCTCAGAAAAGACAAAACTATAGGAGAGTAAGTCCTGATAACTTCAAAATAAAGCTTATGATGAATATTGAACTTAGGGGTTATAAAGTTTGAATAGGCAACTTTTTAGACTATGATTGAATATTCTATTATTTTTTACCCTACCTTCTCCCTTAGAGCATATTCAGTGCAAAATCATATAGCATGTAATATGACATTAGTTTGTAATATAGCTAAATAATCCGTGCCTTTTAGTTTGTATCTGTAGAGCAAAAGAAATCATGTACTAGATTGCTAAATTTGGCATTTATGTGTGTGATTAATCCTCATTTATAATGCAGGGAAATTATAGTTTGCCATTTATCTATTAATTATATTGTGAACATGTGCATTTTCCATGGTAACATGTCTGTTCACACAGCTTCTGTGACTGCTGTCATATTGGTGTGAAAGTTAGCAAATTATTCGTTCTTTACATGTAACACACATTGGCAAAGATGCAGGCATCCTTAAGTGCCATCTTAAGTACTCCAGAAGGTGGAAGTCACATTAATTAATTCATTTGTTCGACAGTTTTCTTTATACAACTTAGACTTAAGTGCTGTATATCTAAGGAATAAAAGACAAGTGTTAGAAAATAGTTTTAAAAATATTTTTGTGTGTTTTATGCCAATTAACTTCACAGTCCTGTAGATCTTGTTCAGTTATTCTGTGAAGAAGCTAGTCAGTGTAAAGGACAGAGTAATGTGTAGAAATCTTGTTCTTTTGGGTGTGGAATTCATTCCACTAACACAGCGACTTTTAAGGCGGCTTAGTTGTACTCTGATGACTGCAGTATTGGGGCTGTTGTGGAAATCTCACTTTCTATAGCTCCAGCATTTCTTTGGCAGAGCTTGCATTTAGATCAACTACATCTGATCCACTGTTTTCTAAGACAGATCTTGAGTAATTTTTTCAGACAGAAATCGAGTTAAACAATCCAGACACTATCTGTTGCCACAAGTAGGAATATTAACATAATACTTTTGGGAAGAAGCGAAGGAAGAAGTGAGAACTTACCTGTATGAGGAGCTTCTTGAGAGAGACTTAGAACTAGCGTTTCCCCTTTTTGGAATATGTGTTCATTTCACTTTAAATAATGGAAAGAAATGCAGCAACAGGATATGCCATCTTTCTTTCTATAGACCTGTACTTCATTTCAGAAAAACAAAGAAGGCGTAGCAGTTTCTTAACAGGTATTCTTGTGTACATTTCTATGATTATAATTAGGTGGAAGATAGTCTGTGAATTCTGGTTGCAAGCAATATTGTAACATTACAGAGAATATACAATTTTTGTGATGCCTTACTAATAAATCATAAGTGGAGAAGGAAAGAAGCTGGGAAATGTTTTGTAGTTGTTGTTTTGTTTTTTTTACTTTATTACAGATGGAACTGAGGAAGGGAAAATAAAAACCTTGGAATATGGTAATTAAGCCTTTACCAAACTTAATTTACTGCTATTTTATTCTAGAGACAGAGTGATCGGTCTGATGATGACTGCTTGCGATTTGTGTTCTGTAACAAAACTGTGGCCAGTTACCAGACTGACAGCCAATGATATATATGCTGAGTTCTGGGCTGAGGTACGTGTGTTTCTTTTGTTTTATCTCCTCTGTTTACAAATGAAAATATTTGGGAAGAAAATTAAAAACAAGAAGTTTGCCGCAGATATCTTAACAAATTAAAGGCTGTTCTTTGACACATGCTTTTTTAATTTTTTTTTGTTTGTTTACTTAGACACTTTATAAAGATCTATGTTAGCTTTCTAATTTTCAAGCAGTAATTTTTCTTTCTGTTAAAGATGAATTTGGGAAGTATATTCTAACATACATTGACTAAGCAATGACTAAGAAAATCTCTACCTTATTTTGAGTTGCTAAGGTGAAGGACCTATTTCTGGAGAGAAATCCAAAATATGAAAACAGCTTCCAGGCCAGCTGCCTTAAAACACACTCTGATAAAGCTATGGTATGAATCCAAGAAGTGCTAAAGCAAATTTGACAAACCTTAAAATTTTTCTGATCTCAGTGTTTGGAAATTTGTGAGCCAGATCAACAACGGAGAAGGCAAGCTGATTTTTAGTATATTGAAAGTTATTCCACAGATAAGGTGTAATGAGAATTGAAACATGACATTGAGTTTGTGCTAGAGTAATTGTGTCCATAAATAAAGATGCAATCTCTAACACTTCTTTTGTCCAGGATTAATATTCAAACTGTTTATGTTTTAAAGTGCAAAAGTAACAATTTTGGGGATATCAGGAAAAAAAATGAGGGTGTTGCATAGAGTTGAACTATGTAGTTTTAGAATATATACTCTGTTTTCAAAACTGCTTTGTGGAAGTCAGCAGAATTCAGTGGGTTTCTTTCCATCTTATATAGGTGTAAAATGGAAATCAGGCCCACAGAGTTGTTGTTGTATGCATGTAATATGGAAGTTTTTGTCTTGCCTTGTGCATGCTAATTATGGAATTAAAGATATGCATGGCATGTGTTTGTGGTTTTTCTGTATTTAAAAATTCTAGTTCCTTTAGCTATGATCAACTCAGACTACAAAAATATCTGAAAAATGTAAACTTTATAAGCTCAAGAATCAGATTCGTTTCTGAAATGTCAGCACGTGAATGTTCTTGTAAGCGATATAATGGAGGAATACTGTTGATGTGCCTCACTAAATACAAACTCAACGTGTTTGGTTTTCAAGACTTAAAAAATAAATTATTATATTTTAATTAATTTATTAAAAAATAAATTAAATGTCTTATGAACATAGTGGAGAATGAAGGATCAAACTAATTTTTCCTACTAAACAATAGTAAAGATGGAAATAGCTGAGCCTGCCCAGATGTTAAGCTATTTTCTTAGCATAAGATGAGTTACTAGAAGTGCATTTCATATTATAAATTTATGGAACAAGTTTAGATTAGAAATTTTTGAATTGCTTTTTTCCTAGAATCATAGATTCATAGAATGTCTGGATGTCACGTGGGACCATATCATTGAATGGTTTTGGTTGGGAAGGGCTTTTGAGATGATCTACTTCTACTCCCCCCACTATAGGCAGGGACACCTCCCTCCAGACCAGGTTGCTCAAAGCCCCACCCAGCCTGGCCTTGAATGCTTTCAGGAAGGAGACAGTCCTCAGCCTGTCTCGGAAACCTGTTCCAGTGTCACCACCCTCACAGTAATGAATTTCTTTCTAATAAATCATGTCTGCTGTGATTTTTTTGGTGGGATGAGAGACAGTAGGCAGTCACTAATCTTTCTTCAGTGTTTTCTAAATAATGTACTGTAAGTCACTCTATTTCTGTATCTGTTCTGCAAGATACAAGAAAAATTAATTAGGATTTCTTTAACATTCTTTATGATCATATTCATAACTATGAGGATATAGGCAGTATTTTTATAGCATCCTTTGTCTAGCAGTGTTTCATATATATGTTTACATGTATTGAATGCAAGAAAACTTGTATTTCTAGTATTTGTGTTCCAACTAAACAAAAGCAAATACTTTTTTTGCTATGCGGATTGTCAGTCACTGGCAGTGGTTCCCTGGAGTAGTTGTGGTACCTCCATCATTGGAAATATTCAAAATCCAAATGCAAAGTCCTGTAAAGTTTGCTGTCAGTGACCTAGGCTGGAGTGAGTAAATGGAATGGACCTGTTGATCCTAAGAGTTCCTTTCAAATCTGAACAATTCTGTGATTTTTGGATTCCCTTTTCTTTCATTTTTTTTTTTTTCCTCAGAGCTGACTTTGATTGTTGGTAATGGATGAAATAGTAAGAGGTAGTTGGTTTTTTTTTTTTCCACACAACAAAGATCTGGTCTTTGGATTATTGCTGTTTTCAGAGTATCCTTCTTATGCACGTAGATGCATTAATATACTTAAGAAGGCTGCTTGGCATGCAATTTTGTCAAAACATGCTCCTCATCTTTGGTCAAAGAAATTGGTTTGTAAATTCATTGTAAATTCATCTTCCTCAATCAGCTTTTCCTTGGATAGGTGAGTTGTGTTCTACTGGTAATTGTATTATAGTGCTTTAAACAGGTAACATTTTCAAAGATGAGAATGTCTATGAGTAGAACAGGTAAATCTGATTTATTTGGTCTTGGTTTCTTCCTTCCAACTGCCCCTTATTATGGATAGGCCTTTGCAGAGAAGGAAAGTATGAGTACATTGAGTCAAAAAATAGATTTTCACCTTAAGCATTTTTTTGAGATTGAGTTACTCTGGTGCCTTGCATTATTTTAAATTCTGGATTTTCAGATCCACATGCAATAGGAAATGGGAAGTCTGATCTTAGTACTTTTAAATTTTGTTTTCCTGATCCCTTTTCTCCAGGGCGATGAGATGAAAAAGACAGGTATTCAACCCATTCCTATGATGGACAGAGACAAGAAGGATGAAGTCCCTCAGGGTCAAGTATGAACTCTCTCTGTAAAATGATACTTATTTTACAGTTGTTTTTTTTTAAAAAAAGATATATTTAAAAGCATTGTATATATTAACAAATGTTGCATTTTATTCCAGGGTATGTGTGTTTCTAAATTCTATGCTTTGTACACAAAATAGAATGTTGTTGTTTTTGTTAAGTGGCAGCAGAAAATTTGTCTTCAGAGACGTTACTGAAATAACAAAATGCTTTCTGCTTCTGTCTCAAGTTACTATACCACATAAGTGTACTTCCTTTATAATAATAAGGCTTAAGGAATGATTTAAACATGATACAGTCGATATTTCTGACATGGAAATGATCATGCAGTTTCAATAAGAAAAATTGAAGTCTTTCATCTGGTTATATATTAGTGCTCTTTTTGTTCCCGTAATTCCCAGTGCAGCAATTTACACCTTGTTATCTTCTTACCTTCCATTCTTACCTTGCCATTCTTTCATTCCTCTTCACAAAAGCTCTGCGAATAGGTAGCAGGCCTCTGGCAAAACGGTATATTTGAAAACCTGAGAAACTTTTGGATACATTATGTTCTTCCCTGTATCGTAAAGTTGGTAACCGAAGGTAAAAAAAAAATATAAAATAATAATAATAATAAAAAGGAATGGTAGTCTCATACGTACAATCAGAATTTGAAGAAGTATCAAAAACCCAAAAGACTAAATTTATGACAAGTTAGAGGACTGTGAATACTGACCACAGATTTGAAAAGGCAAATGTTGCTCTTCTGGCATATGGTCAGATATTTAATATATCATGCCATTTCAATATGTGAATAAGTTTATGTGTTCACTGGCATTAACGAATGGCATGTGGATTAAAGACTGTCTTCAAGATAAATCAATAGTAAAAACTAAACTGAGTGTGCAGCTCTAGCTTCTGTGTCTCATTACTGTGTTAGAGCAAAATGTGAGATTTAGAACATAGTTCAGTGAAAGTAACCATGCCTGTGTTCCTGTAGAGACAGAAGAATTTAATGAAGCATTATCATCCATTTCCTTAGGCTCTAACAGAAAGTATTAATGAGTTTAGAATCCTGTATTTTTATGTGGATTTTAATTAAAGCATTAACACCTTATTTAAATGACAATTATGTTTAAGAAAAGAGGATTTGTATAAACATGCAATCTCTGAAAAAATAATTATGCCTCAAATACTTATCTTTGATGAAAATCGTTTGTAGTTGGCATTTTCTCTCACTTGGGTAGTTGGATCAGTCAGCCTCTTTTGTGCTCTTCTTGTCCTTTTAAGCACAACTCACATAGGGTCTCTGAGTTTGATGTCTTCCTACTGTAGAGCCTGCAGTGAGGATTTATTCCTGACTCAGTAAGGATCCCGTCACACCCTCTTTTTCTACTCCTTGCTTGAGAATTAAGCAGTGTTTGTGGTCATACCAAGATACTCAAAGGGTATTTTCTTCCTTGGCTTCTACTGGATCCATGAATGTCTCTCATCTTTACAGCCTACCAATTTTGAAGTCTTTGAGGAGGATAGAAATGTCAAAACTGCACAGTGACCTAAAAAACTCCAGCCATTCAAAACTTAGCTCAGAAATTGAGTTATTAAGATTGAAAATAAGTTTACTTTTATGGAAGGATTAAAATATTAGGAGTGATTTCATATTTAAAATGCTTCAGTGTGAATGTTAAAGATCCAGCTGTCAAAGCTATAAATGTACTTAGTATGCACAGTGGAAGAGACAGTAGCAGTTCAGGGCTTCAGAAAAGATGCCTTGTTTCAAACACTAGAGCTCCAAAAAGAAGATTGATTGGAACATACTGTAAATTTATTTGGTTTGGTTGATGTCTTTCACATTTAGCAGTGGCAGCACACTTCTCATTGAGAAGTCTACAGTGTGACTGTACCTATCATCCCATTCATGATTTTTTGCCAGACATGGAGCAATCTGCTGTTTTCCAGTAAAATAAAACCAGCCCCCTTAGCAACCCAAGAACCAAAAAAACTCAGATGAAAAAAAAACCCCGAAACTCATAGGATGAAAGTAATGCAGTATGCAAAACGGAGAACTGTTTCTTTTAAGATGAACAGACATGACTGCTGATGAATAGACAAGCCTTGCGTTCTGGCCTAATGAAGTTTATTTCTATCAGGTACACTGTAATTACTTCAAATCCAACAGAGGTTCTTAGGTCAGAAAAAATGTCTCTTTTTTAAGTACAAAATGGACTGTTTACATAACAGTATGGGAGGAATCTTTGTATTGATGGAGGTAAAGACAACAAGAACCAGAGTTACTTTGATTTCTGAAAAAGAACCAATGTTTAGATTGTTAAAAAGATTTTTTTTTTTTAATCAAATGTTTTGGTTGCAGTACAGCATATCATACCACTGTAAAATTTAAAATTCTTTCTAAGAAAGGAAACATGGTGGACTATAGTGACTGTCATGAGAATCTAGAATAAATAAATGATGTTACAGTGAATTTGAATTTTAACTGTCATCTTTGACTGTAAGCATAGTATTTCTAAAAATACCCACATTGCATGATAAATCAACTGCAGCATGGTAGCAGTCATAGGATGGTAAGCCTACATTAATCATATATATCACTGACAATGTGCTCATTCTCTGAGTAGGTTTGTATGAAATATGTCACTCAATTGCATACATGAAAAGAAAACAGGAACTTTATAAGGGTGCAAAGCCTGTAGCATTTCAGGTAAATTAAGCTATGAAATACATACTCTAGAAGACATCAGAAAAATCCAGATCTCAATCATATTTTGGAAATCCTGAGCAACTTTTCTGCTTTTTAAATGTTTTTTTTTTTTTTTTTTTTTTTAATCACATGAATGTATTCCTGTTACTACTGCCACCAAAAAGCCAGGCAGATCCTGGGAAAAATCAGTTAAATCAATTGAGAGTAAAAGATCTTGCAAAAAATCCTATCTGAAACAGAAAAACAGGCATCTTAATCATTATAGGGAGGCAAGCAAGCAACTTATAATTATTAGACTCTTCACTATTAGTGTTTCATTTTAAAGTCTTTGGATATTAAGGTGAGATGTGTGTTAATTCCTAACATAAGCAGTTATTAAATAAGCAGTCAGTGTCTTTGCTCTAGTCGGCTGTTAACATTCAGAGTTTTAATTTGGCAACATTTAATTTTTGTTCATTGCTATTTTTCATAGATTGGATTCTACAATGCTGTAGCCATCCCATGTTACACCACACTTGCACAAATTTTTCCTCCAACTGGGCCACTACTCCGAGCATGCAGGTGAGTAAATGTGTAAGGTTTTGCATAGCAGGTAGCTTAGTTAAAGAAAAAGCAAACATGCTCTGCTAGTTTTTCTAGAAATACACACTTTCAATTTGGGAATTTGCATGCAGATAAATGGGGATTTATTTCTCATGTTAATTTATGTAGAAACCCAGAGGCAGTAACTGCTGACTGTGACTGTCCAACGCAGATCTACAGACACAACTGATTAAAATGTGCTTGATGCTAAAAGCATTCAGAGAGAAACAGGTTCAGTGATTATGTATCTCTATCTCATGCGGTTCAGAGCAATTTCACTCTGTGTCATTTTTACTTCAACATGATACCAGTAAGATTGGCAGAAGACAAGAATTCTATTTCATTAAAAAAATAGTTTTTGCATGTCGTTTGGTTTTGTATCTGAATATTTCTGTTAGGAAACATAACTTAGAAAAGTCAATAACTTGAAGCATAAGGGGATGTCGGGAAGGCAGATGTAGACTTGTCCTTCCAGTCAGCAAGAACATAGCTTGAGGTCTTCTGAAGGAGAGGACAATTGGCTTCTTCTACTCTGGAATGATGATAGATCTCTTTGTAGATAGTTCAGTCCAGTAATTCTATCTGAGACCATGGCAGTCTTCACCGACAAAACTTCTGTTAAAATCAATATGCTGCATAAAAATATTTGCATTTCAGGGTAATCTGTATTCTCTAAGAAAAAGCAGTTGGTAAAATGCCAGCAATTTTTAGTCACGTGCCAGGAGAAGTCATTTTTTCCTGTGTTCTTACAAGAACCCCTTATGTGCATTTAGCATTCTAACTTCTAGTGGAAGCTGACCCAGCCCAGAGCTGGGGGTTTGAAATTATAATTCTTCATATTAATGAAAAAATGCATATTAGGAAATTTATGGATATTAGGAAAGTTTTGATACTAGCACAGTCAAATAAGAGGTCTTAAAAATGGGTTTATATTTACTGTAGAAACATTTGCATAAACTTGTCAGTATATTTGCTCATAAGTAAGCATTGTTATTTGTCTTGATGAGAAATGAGGCTGAGAAGGTAAATTGAGTGGTTGTGACTGCATAGAATCATCTTTGAGAGCAGGGTTCTTGGAAGACTTGTATCTTTTGATTTCCAGCAATGCATCCAAATGAGACAGTTTCAAAAGTGGGTTGTAGAACTTGGTTGTCTATCTTTCAGTACACAGCTGAAGAGGCATAAAGTTGAATTGCAGAACTGATGGATGCAGGGATAGAGTTTGGTTTTCATAAGACTTTTGTAAGACTTCATAAGACTTTCACAAGAGCTTCCTGAAAATCTATTCCCTGTCATAAGATCCTCTGATGTGCAGTTTGATAGTTTTTAGAACTGAATTGCTCTGTCTTTGAATTACTCTCTGCAGATCCACCTGAAGTGGTCTGTTTGAGAAGGTTGAGGTAGAAGTGTTGAGAATTCAGGTTTGGAGCTGGAGACTAGAAATTCAAGAATACAGAGTGAAGTTACACTTCCTCAGTACTGAAACGTATGTTATTGCAGGGCTTTGGTTAATCCAGTTTTTCAAGTAGCTGATTTTGCACTGCACGTTTTTGAAGGGTAAATGATGAGCAAAAAGCAGCCTTACTCCTCTTTGGTATTGCCGCGGCTGCTGACTGGAACAATTTTGATATCACTTCTTCACTAGCAAAGCTTGTTCTTGAAACACAATGTTTAAGCTGCCCTGTCCTTGAGTCAGTTGGAACACAGACGCCATTGCAAATGATAACAACAAGAACAGCATGTCAGCATCAAGATTTTTATTTTGAGAGCCTCTGGGCATTTATTCCAGACATATGGGAGCCAGAACTTCAGTGGGAGCGCAAAGGCCAATGAATTATACTATGTGCATCTTTAAAATAATAATAATAATAAAAAAGTTTTTTTAAAAAAAATCAGTCACTGATTTGTCTAAGGTAAAGCAGTATCTAAGAATCTTTATCTTGTCTGATGATTTCTTCCACTTTTTTAAATAATCTATTATAAGTATAATGTATTTATTTCCTTGTTGAAAATATTTCTTAGTATATATATATTCACTGTGTATCAAAGCTACCAATCGAGTTGTACTGCCCAAAATAACTCACATGGGTGTTTTCTATCCTGCATACTCACTAGGCTTACTAAACTGACAAATCCATAATACTATGGGAGTTGCTCTGAAAGTAATGCTTCCTGCTTTATTATGTTGGTGCACGGTTGTCAGAGGCAGTTGTTGGTATGGCAGTAGAGGTTGAAACTTCCCACCGATATTCCATTACGTGTTGTTGCCATGCAACTGATGGCAGCAGAGGGACAGTCTGACAAAATGGCATCTGACATGGAAGTGCTTATGAAGCAAAGGAGTGTAAATGAATTCCTCAATGTGGAAAAAATGGCACCCACTGACATTAATTGACACTTCCTGAACGTTTATGGAGACCAAACAGTAAATGTGAGTGCACTACGGTGCTGGGTAGTGTTTCAGCAGTGGCAACAGTGACATGAAAGACAAGTCAGGGTCTGTTGACTGTGCACATTTTTACAACCGTACCATGCAGGCGGTTGTTCATCGCTGGTGTAAATTCATTGCTAATAGTAGTGACTGTGTTGAAAAATTGTGTTTTGTAGCTGAGAATTTTCTCTATCGAATAGTGTGATTGTGCTTTCTATGGCTTTTGTAGTTTCCATGGGAATAAAACAGAGGCATTATTTTTTGGAGCAATCTACATATATTTAGGGAAAGTGATTTTTCTTTTAAACTGAACCAAATATTTTTAAATAGTTTTCCATGTGCCTACAGGTTCTGATTTGTTGCTGAAATAGATACAATTTACACATACTTTAGCTGCAGATCTTCTCATTACTTCCACAGTTTTGGGAAAGGGACCTAGAAATAGTGACAGTTGATTTTTTTTCTAGTCTTTAGTATTTGTATTTTTGTATTAGCTGAGCTTCAGTGTTACATTTGTGCTGGTTCCATGTCTTCCAGTTGGCCTGGAGCAAAAGAACAGGTTGAAATGTGCATGCAGAAAATGATATAGGTGTTCCCCTAGAGGGCACCAGCTTTCTTTGGTAAACTTCCTTAGAGCTTTCCTTTCCCCATTGCCAGAAAATGCAACATTTTCTCTTGTTCGTTTGCTGTGTTTCCAGTTCATAATTTGCTGTTTTTTATAAACTATTTCAGCAAAGCTGTGACATAAAAATAGTGCGAGCTCTACTGTATAAATTCAAATGTAATGCAAGAACATGGCTTACATCATATAGGACCTTCCTAGGTTTACCCTCCTGTTTGTTTACTGAAACTAGATTCCTAATGTTTTAGTAACTAGATTCCTAATGTTATAAACCTGGGACAGCTGAGATTGCTCTCCGTTTCTCTGCATGTGAAAACTGAATGCTAGATTTGGTCCATAGGTTGCAAAGTTAATGTTGTTTATCATTAGCATAGCCTTCCAAGTCACAGGAGTGATACTAGCATGCACTAAGAAAGATTATGTGTCTATAATCCCTTTGTGTCATTAGAATTCTACCAGCTAAATTTCTCAGTACTTTATTGTTTGCAAACTAAATGTAGACTTGGGGGTTTGTCAGGCTGTGAGACCATGAAAACAAAATCTGTCTCGAGGAGGACGTATTCTTTTGTTGTAGCAGATTGATAGGTATATCACCACCACAGTAACTGCAGATTAATGCTGTGATGTTGGTATACAACATCTTACACACTGTCAGGCAGCCCCTGTGTGCATGTTTCAGAACTTCTGTGGTTTCCAGTGAAGGAAGTTTCCTGGTAGGAGTTCCAATCTCTGTAGTGCCTCCAGACTGCTGCTTCAGAATCTGTGTAGACATGGCTCCAGCTGGGTTTTCTCTGCAGCCAGGAGAGCTATGGAACTCTAATAGGAGCAGGTGCCAATCTCTAGCTCAGAACTGTAGACTTATATAAGTCAACAGGTATGCTTTCCACACAGGATTATAAAATGAGATAACTTAAGACAAAGGATGAAAGAATATATTGATAAAAGCTTAGTGACATACTAGCACTTTTATTCATGAAGCTACATCACAAAGTATAGTATAGCAGAGAATATTATAAGTAAGAAATCTCATTCAACGTAGAGTGTTTACCTCTCTGACTTTTTTTGTATCTCCAGGGACAATCTCAACCAGTGGGAGAAAGTAACGAGAGGTGAAGAAGCCTCTATATGGATTACTTCCCAGTCCATTGCTCCTGGAACCTCAGATTCACTTCCTGTGAAGACTGATGACTGAACAGCGACAACAGATTGCTTTAAACCTAAAAGCATCCTTTTGGGAGTTTTTGTTTTGTTTTGTTTTGTTGTTGGGTTTTGTTTTTTTTTTGTCTTTTTTTTGTTTGTTTTGTTTGTTTTTTGGTTTTTGTTTTTGTTTTTTAATTTTTTTTATTTGACAAAGGAAAAAGAAAAGCTACAAAATGCTAACTAGGAAGCAGATCTGCCTATGAAAGTAACACCCATGGTGTTGCCTCAGCTAAATGACTCTGGCAGCCAATCTCCTGATCTACACCAGTGACACAACATGAACAGAGGGAAAATGACACCCAGATGTTTTGGAATCAGCTTTTAAAAGAGAACTAACAACTTGTGAAAATAAAAGACTGGCCTTATCTCATGGGCTACATTGCTGAGGCCTTAATTTAAAACTGATGGGGGGAAAAATCTTAGGGGGTACTTCTAAATTGTATCTTTCTAGTAAGGGTTTCAATGGTACTTTTATTATACTGTACTGTGGCTGGCTTTAACACCAGTGTCACTTGGGAGTTCTTGGCTATAAATAGAACAATATACCCATTGCTATTGTGAATGTTTATGTGTGATCTACTTGTAATCAGTTTGAACTCCAGCAGAATCCTTGGAGACTATAGTTCATGCTTAGGTTATGGTGAGTTCTCTTGCTGCAAACAAAAGGAAAACAACATTCAGGTTAAAGGTTTACAGTACTTCATTAAGTTCATGATGCAAATTGTCTGTCACCCACAAGGCAAATGTAAAGAACTAGACAACTCCTCCCTTTAAACACTGGAATTGCTGGATGTTTATCTCCAATAAGGAAAGGTATATGTATAGTTCTGGTTGGAGTTTTCGTATCCATAGTGACAGAAGCCTCAGATTAAAATGTAAATGTGACAGCAAAGATTTCCTCGCCTAGCTTACCAATAACTAAAGTCAACATATTTATTTCTACCTGCTGAGTTATATTCTAAAAGGTATTAGAAATATACCTGAAGTATGCTATATGCTGGAAACAAAAGCCCTGTCAGAAAAGTCAAGCCTCAGAAGAGGAACTGTGGTACCATGACAATAAATCAAAATTTTTTTTGTATAGACTAGCTTTTGTGTTGCACAGTAACACTGCATGTCTTCTACTGCTCTTTCCCCCATCCTAAGATGAGTGAAGTTGGGAAACTTTTCCCTTTTTTGTTTGCTTTTTTTCCCTTAGTTCAGCAAAATGTCAAGACTTGGAACTGCCTTTCTCAGCAGAAGAATAGCTGACAGAAGAAAACTACTCTAAAATACTGTGTTTACAGTTCTGTGCTTCAGTTAGGCTTCAGCCTTAAAATTTTGTGCACAGACTTTAGGACCTTACATTTAATGCCACTCTTTTGAACTTAGTGCAATTGTACAGAGTATGTTTCAAGAAACACTTACTTTGCCTTCATCTTTCTCTTGAAAATAATGAAAAAACTCTTCGTATTGATCCACAGTAGGTCACAACACAATCTCTGTATACCTTTCACGTACAGCCCATACTGCATTATATGCTTTTTCACAGATAAAACACTCTTGTAGTGGTTCTGTGATAACACATCCATTTGTGTAACTGTAACTGTTAATAGTAGTAACAAAGACAGAACACAAGTTCTCTTCTCATGTCTCTTGAGCTGTATTGTTCTAATTAGCATGCCATCTTCTGGGTTTCATTTTGGTGACTTGAACTCTTGAGTTTTGCCTTCTGTTATGGTCGAGCACATACCAGTGTATGTACGTGTGTACAGTATGTGATGCATAATCACATAATGTATAAATGCACCTAAGCCTTTGCAGTACATAGATATCCCAGAGGTTGGAAATTCAATATTAAATTATCTTATTTGTTTAATACAGGTTACCTAGCAGCAGCCCTATAGTTCTTTTCAGTTGTGTAATCAATTCTAAGTGCAGAAATTCATTGTTAACCACAGTAAATTAATTTGAGTAATAAAAAAGGCAGGAAACAACTTCAGAGACTTAGGACAGTATCTCATGCTGTGTCCTCTGCTTTACTCCTTAGCAGTTCTGCTTTAATGAAATTGTGCAGATGCATTCTTTCGTCTGCTAAACATTTGAGATACAGTGAATGATTCCTAATTCACATTGAAGTCATCCAAATATATAGTGACCACAAAAATAATTTCCAAAATTCAGACACCCCAGCAACTGAACTGAACATTTTTTCTTCGTATTTGCTGTTATTCTGCCTCTTCTTTGAATGCTGAACTTACAACTTTTGCAGAAATAGATCTAATCGCACTGTGTCTGTGTTAAGAAGTTCTTTATCCATCTTTTAGTCTTTGTCAGCAGTAAAGACAATTTTGCTAGTTCTGCCACCTATTATTCAAAATATTTCACAGTATCAGTGTTTTACATTTTGAAGTTTGTAAGTACTGATACAGAAGATACTTCCCTAACAAACTTATCAAATTGGCAGTAAGTTGTACTTGTAGTCTCAAGTCAATCAATCAGATGATTTTTCTAATACAGAACTCTCCAGACCACTGAAAATGTGTGTTCATTATAGTATAATGTCTATTAGAATTAAAAACTTTGGCTCCAGTGGTTGTGGTTTGCTTTCCTGGTGACTGTGACAAAAAGTTTCTTTTTGTTAGCAGCTAAACTAACAAAATTAGCCATAGTGGCTTACATTTTCTAAGCAAATTCAACCTTAGCATGTAAAGAGTACAGATTCAGACATGCAAACTTTTTTGTAGAAAAAAAGTTAAATCTGTACTCCCGAAGACAAACTCAACAAAAATCACAACTTCAAAGTTGCTTTTAAATTTCACAGCTCAAGTATGTTTGAGTTTTGTTTGAGGTTTAATACACTGAGATTTAATTGTTCAAACTTCAGAAATCTGGCTCATTAAACTAAATGTCCAAAAGCTATTTTTATCCTGCTAAAACCTAATGATATATAAAATGAATAAGAGTGAATAAAAAAAAACTAACAGAGCTTTTTCTTTTTCCCTAGAAGTGTTAGAGTCTTTTCTTCCAGAACAGCATTATTTTTATTAGTGGTTTGGATTGTTTTTTTGCTTCTAGTCCAGGACAAATAAAAGGACTAATTGAGGCCATAACTGAGCATTGCTAAATCTGTTGTGAAACGATGCCTGAAAAGGTATGCACTAAGTGAGAAAAATAGTTGACATAGCATGATATTCATCTGAGATGTTGCATATTTTATTAGATCAATGACAAAAACACCACTGTTATATTTAGTCCACAAATTTTGTAGTGTAGTATGTAATTCAGTTATTCCATTAGAGAAATACAGTAGTGTTTTTAGTGGGACTATGTGCTAAAGTGTATTTACATTGGAGGGGACATGCAGTGTGGAATTCATCTTTTTGTGTGGGACAGTCTTGTTTCATGTGTTTAAACTTGGAACAGTGTGATGCGTTTGCTATGACTGCATTTAGGCCATGTAGTGTTAAAATTGTAGGGACTGCAGACAGCACCATTCACATTAAAATAGGGATTGTCAGATGTTCAAAACAATTATGACCCTCTTGAAATAATGCATTTGCCTCTAACACTGTGACACAGGAGCAGTTCTGTGAAGTGGTACAAATTGTTTCTTCATTCTAAACACAGAAGAGACTTTCTGCACACTACTATAAGGAAGTTCACATTCAAACTTTAGGTTATATATCCCAATCCAGCAAAGGCACATCACAACTCTTATTTTGCTCTCTGACCAAAAACTGTGCTCGATTGTAATACGGGTGTATACTCTGTCAAAATACCTAAAACTATGGACTGCTTTCTAGGGTAGGTCAAACTGATTTGTAGAGTAGATTCATATATATTCAAAATTCAGGTTGGGCTGTTATGTGGAGAAGAAAGAACTTCAAGGTAACATTCAACTTTAATACATTTAGTGAGCTGAAAGATTTGTTTTATATATATATATATTTACACACACATATATATATATATGATACATATAAACTATCTTTGTAAAAAAGAAAAACAAAAAATATGCAAGTGCAATAATTTAAAGAGGTCTTAACTTTGCATTTATAAATTATAAATACTGTACATGGTGTGTAATTTTTTTCATGTATTCATTTGCAGTCTTTGTATTTAAAAACAAACCTAAACCTTTACTATTACGTTTGTACAATAGAACAGTAAGCATTTATTATGATATAGTTAAGTTGTAAATAAATCACAAACCAAACAGCCAGTACATATGCATATATGGGTGTCCTATTGTGAAACCTGTTTTTGCTTTTACTGCTGACTTTAGCACAGCAAGACTACTTCTGTGGATATGTAATTATACATATAAATATATGTATGATACATAAAATATATTTAGAAATGTTCATAATTTTAATGGATATAACTATACATATTCTTTGGTGTGAATATTACTGAATACAGAGTTTTTTTTAATATTATTTTTCATGTTTATTTTGGCTATTATTGGGAATGGAAGTGAGGTATGGGAAGTGTGTGTGTGTGTGTGTGTGCATGTATGCATGGGTTTGATTTGTATCTCATGAGGAAACCACAGGAGAGATGCAATCAAAACATAATGGAGTCCTTTAACAAGGCGGTGTCTGCTTTTTTCCTGTAATTGCAGTTTACTGCTTATGGTATGTTTTTCCAATATAAATCCATTGTTTTTATATATAATCACCTATCGTAAGTTCACATTGCCACAAAGAGATTCACTTTCCCATTTGCCCTCCTACTGCAAGAGGGTTTACCTTGCTCTTGATGTACTTTCGCACAGATCCTTGCCTTGCTGCTGCCAAATGAACACGTAGCTAATCATTGAATGCCTTTTGGGAGTTATGCAGATACTGAGATGCTGAATTTACAAAAAATAATCTTTCATCCAAGTTTACAGGATATAGGGCTTTGACAATCTTGAAAATACAAGCTAAGTTCAAGGAATCATAGGACAACGTTCTTTGCTGTGGCACTTTTGAAATAGGTGTGCAAAATTAAGGAAAAAAGTCTCGTGTGTTTATCTACCTGGAACATTCATTTCCTTCAAAGATCTCTTGAAAAGTTCATGCTCAGTAAACAGAGCATTCAATGTTTATAACTCTCAAAGTGGCCTTATG